GGTTATAGGTCACGCTTGCGTTAACTGGTTGTCAGAACTTCGGGAACTATTATTACGCTTGGCTAGTGGACAGATGCTTTATAAATGAGAGCCTCTGAAATTTCTAAAAACAGAAATACACTTATTAATATGTTTACGCCAGAGGCGTAGCTAGGTCGGGTTTCACACAGTGCGGTACTTCGTGGTGGCACCCAACCCCCCCTCCCAAGAACCAAAGCATATATATATATATATATATATATATATATATATATATATATATATATATATATATATATATATATATATATATATATATATATATATATATATATATATATATATATATAATATGTTTGTACCGGCCTACAAAGGCCTATAATTTAAATATATGCCGCATACGTGTATATGCATAAGAAAAGCTTTAATCACGGCAAACCCAATAGTATTAATGATATCTATAGTATGTTAATAATACAGCTGGATGTAGCATTGTTTTCTCTATAGTTAAGGCGGTTACATCTTGGAGTCAGCCACACCCTCTTGTAATAATTGTTGATTTGTACTGAAAAGACTATTTAACTTTAATTAATCATTAATGGAACTGGCAAAAGGCATTTTTCTTCTGTACATTTTGCAAGTGTTTGCTACGGTGTCACCCGGTGTGGTCCACCCCCCCCCCCCGCCCCGCGCTCGCTACACCTCTGTGTCAAGCTACTCTAAATAATCAGTATCCACGAGTTTGTCTCATATATATATATATATATATATATATATATATATATATATATATATATATATATATATATATATATATATATATATATATATATATATATATAAATATATATATATATGTATGTATATATATATATATATATATATATATATATATATATATATATATATATATATATATATATATATATATATATATATATATATATATATATATATATATATATATAGGCTATTTATATAGAATATATATAGGCTACACACACACACACACACACACACATATATATATATATATATATATATATATATATATATATATATATATATATATATATATATATATATATATATTAAAATCAAAATAACATGTTTAATTTGCCTCAAAGCGTTTTATAATTTATCTACGTATGCGACACCCAGTGTGGCTTGGAGCTATATATATATATATATATATATAAATATATATATATATATGTATGTATGTATATATATATAAATATATATATATATATATATATATATATATATATATATATATATATATATATATATATATATATAGGCTATTTATATAGAATATATATAGGCTACACACACACACACACACACACACATATATATATATATATATATATATATATATATATATATATATATATATATATATATATATATATATATATATATTAAAATCAAAATAACATGTTTAATTTGCCTCAAAGCGTTTTATAATTTATCTACGTATGCGACACCCAGTGTGGCTTGGAGCTAGTGACCAACTACAAGAAGATGAATGGCTGTGGACAGATGGTACAAAGGCTAATCTAACATCAATGTGGGGTTATAGTGAACCCAACAACCTGGACGGAAATCAAGACTGCCTTGAAATTTTTGATGATGGGACGCTAAATGATGATGACTGTGCTAATACTTTATCTTTTATTTGCATGGAAGTCCATGGTAAATATTTATTAATTCATTAATTTACTTTTTGTAAGTTTTCGTTAGTTCAACCAACTTGTTTTAATAGTATACACAATTTATTAAAATGTTTGAAACTTACAATATTACATATAGTAATAGGGGTAGGCTGTATACTATAAGCAGAGGCCACCGACTACATTATTCAACATCAGCTTCTACAAATGAGTAGGGGGTGTAAACCCTGAAAAGTTAAATTGACAAACAAATTTGAAAAACAATTAAACAATTAAACATACGCACATATATTGTATGATCATAAGCAATAAAACAGCATTTAAATAGAGATCTGTGTATGTATGAAAAAAGCTTAAAAAATAAAATTAAAATGTATTTAAAATGAAGTTTTTTTTTTTAAATCTTTTTAAAAAAAATGAAGCACTTAATTCTAACCGTTTTATTTTAACTAGAAACATTCAAGTTAGTTATTAGTTTTGAGCTTTCTTATTCAAACAGGACTTTTTAATTCAGACAAATTCACTATCTTTAATGTATTTACAAAAATGAATAAAAACATGTTTACTTTGACCGTAATTTTCAGAGACATCTACAGCATCTGAAATTTACACACTAATAGATTCGACACCTATAGCAGCAAAGTCAGGTAATAAGCTTTTCTACATTACTAAATAGGTCAAAAATGGGAAAAACTGCCTTAACATAAATAAGTAAAATTTTTAAAACAAAATAGTTACAGATATATTTACCCCATTGTTTTAAATAAACACACACTTACGCGATGGCAAACACAAGTAGGAACTATTTAACAGGTAAGAACAAGTCATTAATTCACAAATTTTATTTTTTTAAATATTTAAAAGCTTTATAAGCCTACTAATTTTCAAAATCAAGTTTTACATTTATTACTTTTGCTTTTCGAAATTGTTCTACATTTAAATATTTTCCTGAACATACGTTTCTACGTTAGTATTATAAAAATAACACTTAACAGATGCTTTTAAAAAACCTATCATTTTTTGAAAAGGTTTACATACGTGTAATAGCTGTACATTTTCATCCTCTTATTTAGACATTATGATTTTTTTTCTTTCAGAAAAGATGACACTTGGTTTAGCTGAAGGGATTGGCATCGGGACTGGTATTTGTGTAGGGGTCACGTTATCCCTACTTGCAGTGGTGCTTGCAATAAAGTTTTGTTGTAAAAAGAAGTCACTCGGTGGGAATCTGGAGCAAAATGGGAACAGCATGGACGGCGAAAATCAAACACGTAAAATAATGTGATATTGTTAACGCAGATTTTAAAGCATCCTATATTAGATACAGAACACAAGAAAGAAATCCCTACCTTTTAACAAAATTGATCTTTAAAAAAAAACACAATTGCATTACAGTTAAATCAGTATTCGATTTTATTTTCGGTAATGGACATTGGGTTGTTATCAGTGATATTACGGTCACTGGGTCAAGGTTACTGAGTTATGGTAATTTTAGCATTATTATTTGGGCATACACCTTATTTAATAGTCATTAGTCATAACTATTAAAAAATTGATACTAGATGGAACGTTATTTTGGACATTGGGTTAAAGGTGACCTACAGATGATAAAGTAAATTTGGTATAAGCAAACTGTTTTTTTTTTAATAAAACATTTTCTGTGATAATAATTATAACAATTCCTCTACAGAACAAGGCAATGTTTATGTAATCATGACGCTAACAGAGACCGAACAAGACGAGCTAGATGGTTCTGAACATGTGTATGCGGATTGTTCGGACTATCCAGGTGATTGAAATATTAAGATATTATGGTATTTATTAAAAGAAAACAAAGAAAACCATGACCTTTGCACTATATTGAGTCTTGATAACTCTATTATGATAAGTAACCTGATATTATAGTGGATGAGATATAGGAAGTGTGACATGATACTAACTCAATGTAACTTTATCATTGTCATTAAGTTATGGTACCTGGGCCAATGTCAAATACTGGGACATGGATGATGAGTCATGGTTATTGGTCATAACCAGTGAGACATAAATAGATTGGGTCATAGATTTATATCATAGACTACTACTATTTTATAGCAATATTGCTTAACAATGGTGAATATATTTCTTTTCCAGAACAAACTGCTGCTTATGACAACACGACACAGACCGAGGCCGGGGCTGTCGAAATAGTTGAGCTAAATGAAGCTGAACATGACTATTTACATTTGTATGCTGATTTTATTGACCAACAGGGGGTCTGTTATTGATAGCTAGTATTTGTGTGCATTATGTATAAATAAATGAACATCATGTGTACTATTTTCCCGTCGATAAAATTATACAGTTCACCCGATTAATAAATTATTAAAGTATTATTGTCTATAATTCATGAAAACTAAATTTTCTTACTACTGGTAACTATTATTTGTTTGTAATATGTATAAACAAATAAACATAATGTGTACTATTTTCCTGTCTTTAAATTTTATACCCATCCTGATGGCACACCACCTTGAAGTGGTGGGATGGCTTGTGTGCCCCAGCGACCCTCAAAGCTATGCCGGCGGGAGCCTAGTGCTCCTTGCAGGTCTAACCAAGTCGGACAGATCTGCGCGGGTAGGGGCCAGACCAAACGTTGTGCCCTGGTCCTCCAGGTTTGGGGTTGTGCGATGGACTAACTACTCGTCCACATGAAACAAAGTAGAGTTAAAGAAAACGAAGCCAAATCTTATATTAACCCAGTCCTCGGAAGAACCAAGGCTCCACATAGGAGATATATGAGACGATGCAAAAAAAAATAATACATTTCACCGAATAAATCGATTTGTAAAATGTTATTGTCTACAATTCCTGAATATTTTATTTTCTGACCTATTGCAAACTTTTTTTTCTTAAACTATCCTTAGCACCTATCGAATATTCCGTTAAGTTATCGAGTTAAAATACCCCCCTGTTTTATTGTCATCTTATTGCGACCTTACTCTAACAGTTATTAATTCAAGTGCAAAAATTATTGTATTTGTCACCCCCCCCCCCCCCTCCCCAGACGTGGATTGACGTATCAGTTAATACAATTATCAAGAAAAACTTTTTCCTAGGGCAAATTTTGCAACATTTAGTTGGTTTCACACCACCACCCCCCCCCCCCCCCCCCCCCCACCCCCCGCCCCCTCCACCCGGTGATAGCTTTAGACTGACAATACTAATGATATTCCTCTATAGTCGATTATAAATACAGCTGGGTGTATTATAGTTTTTATATCGTTAGCAGGTTTAAGTCATGCGGCCCGCACCCCCGCCCCACTCCCCCGCGACGCCCCAGGAGTTAAGCGATATAGCGATATGGCGCAGAAACCAGATCCTTTATTATGGCAGGAATGTAAAGCTGGCGAATTAGTCGAGCCATCTTTGCACGATCTCACTAAGTCTTCGGCAATTATCCGAATACTTTAATTGTAGACTTTGGGCACGCCAGTCTCAAGTTACACTAATCTATGGTTACATAAACCTTACCTCAGCCCAATGTCACAATATTCTCCACGTACCACAGACTCATGTTACCACAGTCACATGTCACAAAGGCCTCATGTAAATCTAACCCCATGTCACCATATCCTAAAATCATCAAATTCCCATCTCACCATAGTCTCATGTTAACACAGCTACATGTCACTATAGCCCAATGTCATCGAAGCCCTACATCACCCTTATCAATATCACAGTGCGCTATGTTAACCATATTACCCTACGATAACGACACAACAGACCAGTGTCATTTTAGACCCATGTCCCCCTAACAATAAGTCACTATAGACCCATATCACCCTAATCCTAAGTCACTATAGACACATGTCACCCTAACCCTAAGTCACTATAGACCCATATCAGCCTAACCCTCAGTCACTATAGACCCATGTCACCCTAACCCTCAGTCACTATAGACCCATGTCCTCCTAACCCTAAGTAACTTTAGACCAATGTCACCCTCTATAAGTCACTATAGACCCGTGTCACCCTAACCCTAAGTCAATATAGACCCATGTCACCCTAACCCTAAGTCACTATAGACCCATGTCACCCTAACCCTAAGTCACTATAGACCCATGTCACCCTAACCCTAAATCACTATAGACCCATGTCATCCTAACCCTAAGTCACTTTATACCCATGTCAATCTAACATTTTTTCCAAAAGTCCCGTGTCACATTAATCCATGGCATCAATGTTTTATCATAGTGTAAAGTTTTGTCGCATGTGTATACACCCTATCTACTCAACTCTCAGAGAGTAACAAAAAGTGATAAAATGTCAAGCTAAATATAGTCAAATATTTCACGCGTGTTCCATAAAGATTATGCAACTTCCCTTCACAAAATCACGTGTGATGTTTTTTGCGAAAACAGTAGGTGGTTGAATTTTATCAGCACATCAAACTGCCAGCGTGACTTCTCAGTTTTCTTTTGTAACCTTTCTATTCAGATTAATATAACCGAGTAGATAAATTGCATACATTATGGGCGTTTAAAAAAAGCTTTAGAATTTTTTAGCAGCAAAGTTAGATAAGATTATCATTCTACTCCACAATAAAAACCCGAAATCCGAAACCGGCTTATATAGATATATCCTGGATATTATTTTTCAGGGCACTTTGTATCTTCTGTGAGAGAATTGATAGACAATATACAAACACATACTGTGTGGGTGTTGGTACCGGCATAGAGTTGGTATGACACAGCCATTGTGTCTTTGTGTAATTAAATACCATACAACGTGAGAATGGGTTTTTGTGCTATAAATTGTGGCGACATCTTACGCAAAACTAAGGATTTATTTATATTTTAATGATTTCCGCTTTATTGTTCAGCTAAATATATACATATACTTATTTATTTATTTATTTATAAACAAAAGCCTTATTTCATCTGGTTTTATTCAAGACATGATGTTGTGGATGTACTCTGTAACGGTGCTGGTTTTATTTGCACAAATTGTCTTTACGCAAGGTAAATATCTGCTAAAAACATTCATTTTGTGCACACTAAAATGGTATTCGCACAATCGCTGATTTCCACTACAACACCTAATTAATAATGGGACGGGAGTGGTCTAGCTGGACTGCTAACCCGTAAGTCTCGAGTTTGAATCCGGGTTCAAGTCAGTAGACCGTCCCTGAGTCCACCCAACTCTGATAGCTACCTAACTCACGTAAAGGCGGATCGGCATAGTGCTGACAACACTATCTCTTCATATGCCGAGGTCACAGAAACAAGTGAACTCTACTTCACTTACCATTTAAACCTTCCGGTTTGGAAAAGGGAAGTTTACTTTTTTATCTACCGGGCGCCGGCGGTTGCGCCTGTTGAAGTTTTAACGCTGAATATAGTAGTACCCCTTACCCGCTATGCAGGACTAACGATTAACTGATGCCAAGTGCTAACATAGCCGCTATGAAACTCTTGGCACCCTCCCGGGCGCCGCTCATATTAAATTTAAATTATTTTGTTAACAGAAACCTTCCTGGAAGTATTCTTATCAACTCTTTAAAGTTTTATAGCACTCGGATGAAAGGTGTCGAACCGCATCTGACATTCATTTTATTAATATACCGTATATAGAGCAGAATCGCACCCTCCCGGTGCGCCAGCCTTGAGAAATTAAAATGTTGGTTTTTTTTACAGAAACCTCCCTGTAGGTTTCTAATAAGCTCCGCAATATTTCATAGCACTCGGATGAACAGTGTCAGACCGCATTCGATTTTTATTTTTCATATTCCGTATATAGAGAAAAATCGCACCCTCCTGTGGCGCCGCTCTTGCGAAATTAAAAAACGTTTTTTTGCAGAACCCTTTCCTGGAGTGTTCTAATGAACTCACCAAAGTTTGATGGTGGTCGGATGACCGGTATGAAATCGCAATTTTTATATGCCGTATATAGAGAAATAAAACAAATCGCGCCCTACCGGGGCGCCACCCCTGCGAATTATTTTTTCACAGAAACCTTCCCAGGAGTATTCTCGAAAAATTCCCAAATTTTCACGGCGATGTGAAAAGAGGTGTAGTAATGCATAAAAGACAAACACGCACACACAGACACAGATAGACATAAAATGCTTTATATATATATATATATATATATATATATATATATATATATATATATATATATATATATATATATATATATATATATATATATATATATATATATAGATAGATAGATAAGCTTTTAAATACTATGAAAAACAAATAAAACTTGCTTTTATTAAAGAAAGCAAGTTTTTGTTTTAATTTTCAACCATCTAGCCCCTGTGGAGCAAAGCGCTAGAGTTACACGTCACTAAAGGATTATTTTTGGCAGCTCTCTTTAGTTGAGTACATATAAGCCCCGCATCCCTTTTTTCTCCTGGTTTGTTTAGACAGGAGATATTCCTCTTTCTATGAGGATTCTATTCCAACGCGTACCTTACGGTGTATTCTTTTTCTACTCTCAGAGTGTGCCGGATTTATCAATATTTGAGGCTTTAATATCCACATATATGTACTGTTGTTATGTGATTCCTATAGAGTGACGTTGGAAAATTTTATCTGGCCATCTGATCTTTAGGATTTTTCGTTATAATCTACTTGTAAATTACTTTAACCAATTGTTATTTGACTTTTTAGCCTCCAGCTCTCTAAACATAACAGCGACCCTGCCTTGATTTTCGTGTTGAAGAACTCCTCAATGTTTGACATTATCTATTATTTTGCAATAATTTATACTTTTTTGGAAATGGTTTTAAAGTTTTGATTTATATTTACTTAATAGTGCTTCGGTGTTAAGGACCTGAATTTAAAGTCATTCCAACAAGTGATGATGAATTACATAGATCTAGTTTTAAGTATTCCATTATAAATTTCCAGCAACGTGTATCAGTGAAACAGCTACGGAGTTTGACAACAACTGCTATGAGCTATTCACAATAAACTTGAATTGGACCGAAGCGCAGGTGATTTTACTATTTAGAATATGCGTAACTACAGTCAACAAGTTTGACACTTTGATATTATAATTACTAAATCGATTATTCTATAGTTCAAATATACATACTAACCTATCTCACAAGAAATAATTAGCCAATAAAATATTAATGAGAACATTGGAATTTAAAAATTTTATTTGAAGGAATACTGCTCAAATGGAATAGGAAGCCTGGCCACAATTTCTTCACCCTCTGTGTTGTCATTTCTCAATTCTCTAATACCTGATTATACACAAGGTAACCAAAACTTAGAATAAATTACGTCCAGTATGGAGCGGGATTATGGCCGTTTAGGGTAGGGTACTGAGAATGACAGCACACGACAAGAAGTAACTCGACAATAAAACTCCGACAAAAAAAGTTGTCCTTCGACATTAGAAAAGCCGAAAAAATTATGCGTCCCGTAAATTTCAACAACAAGAGAAAAACGTACGACGGGTGTTGATATTACTTAAAGCGTTAAACATGTGGAATAAGTAGAGTGTGCTTCAGGTTTTTAAGAATAGCGAGAACCTGAGTTTTCATTCATTTATAATGGGAGCTTTAATTGTAATCTTAGGCAGCAAGTTGAGAAGGGCCAGACGTTTCCCGAGAATGAGAGCCCCCCCCCCCCCCCCTCGCTGCACATACACACATCTTACCGTGCGGAAAGAAATATGAAAACAAAACAAACTGTATACAAATGTAAAAACGTAAATGACAGTGGTCGTTTGTATTAAACTTTAATTTAGGGACAGCTCAATTGCGTTGTGTAATAAGCATATATATATATATATATATATATATATATATATATATATATATATATATATATATATAATATATATATATATATATATATATATATATATATATATATATATATATATATATATATATATCCGATGCATTCATTAATATTATAATTAATAATAATGTCTTGTCAGGCAATTTTTCCACTACTTTTCAAAACAACTGACTAATTACCAACGGCGTTGTTTCAAGTAGGAACGGGCCATCGTGAGCTATACATAGATTTTTTTTTCATTCCATAAGCGTGGGTTGGAGCTAGTGACCAACTACAAGAAGGTGAATGGGTGTGGACAGATGGTACAGAGGCTAATCTAACATCAATGTGGGATGAAGGCGAACCCAATAACCAAATCGGAATTGAACATTGTCTTGAGATTAATTATCGAAAAAGTCTAAATGATCTACCTTGTTCTCTTTATTTGTCTTTTATTTGTATGGAAGTTCATGGTTAGTATTGATTATTTTAATCTTTTTTTTTCTTTTTTCAATCAACATAATTTTAACTATAAATGTCTTGCTTTGATGAAAACTATTACCGAAATTCAGAAATCAGATAGGCAAACCTGTGTATACATCTAAATATATGAGAAACGATTTTTGAAAATATGAATATTCAATGTGGAGTAAGATTACTAAATATTTAAACGTTTTTTTTTATTCTTAATGATCATTCATATTTACTTGGCCTATCTTATAAAGTAAATTGAATACAAGAAACGTTGAAAAAAGCCTACTGGTTTTTGTCTTAAAAGTGAAAACTTTAAAAAAATCTTGTTGCTCATTGACATATGACGAAAATAGATGATAATTATGATTAAGATAATCTGACGTTTAAAAAAAAAACGGGCATAAATATTTAAAAAACTAATATGAAGGTCTAGCAATAGAGAATGACTCTTTGAGTTTCTGGAAATGTCACAGTTTTGGGCGTAGCTTTACAATTAAACAAACACATTATCTGCGTTAGCATTTTGATATATATATACATATATATATATATGTATATATATATATATATATATATATATATATATATATATACATATATATATATATATATATATATATATATATATATATATATATATATATATATATATATATATATATATATATATATATATATATATATATATTCGTTAATCTAAAAACATGTTTAATTTTTTTTTACTACGACATTCATGTTATAGTGTAAAGTTGCAAAAAACGGACGTATTAAAATGCTGTTTCACGGCGATCGCTCAAAAAGCTATTAGCACACGTTAAGGACTGGATCTTGTTCTAAACAACCAAAAATGTTTGAATAAATTGAGTTATAGAATTTAGATTATAAAATTAATTTTGAAAAACGTACTCTGTTTATAAACGTTTGATCTTAACATTGTTTTTTTTTTAATTATTAGCTTTTAATCTGAATTTATACTTTTTTATTTTTGTTTAAATAAAATAAACAAAGGAATTTTTCTGATTTAAGGTATTTACTAAAACAAATAAAAACATTACATGTTATACGTTTTACTGTGTCCTACATTACAGAGAGAACCACAACACCTGAAACTGATACAACAACATCTGAGACATTAAAGACAACGTCGGCAACAATTAGCTTTACTACAGTGAGAAATGTGACACAGTCTGTGAACGCTTCTGATTTCACAATCGGTTAAAAAAAATTATAATTATACTAATGTATTGTAGTATGTTAACTTAATGTATGGTACATCTAGCATGATAACAAAAAGGTTCGATGCCTATCAACTAGCAACCGTGTTTTGAAGAAACACGCGTCTGTTATCCAATTTTAATAATTTATCACACCAGGATCAATTGAATTGGTAAAGCAACGATTTTATCCAGATTGTTTGATTATTTGATTCTAGGAAGCTCTGAAATTTAGTTTTTCATTTATTACATTTCCCCGAATCTAAAACATTGACTATCAATGGTGCTAATGTCCTGTGAAAGACAAAATCTTATGCTGGTAAATATTCCATAAAATAATTATAGAAACCTTTAGCTGTAGGCCTACATTGGAAACGGTCACGGAAAACAAATTAAGATTGAATTAATATTGCTCACGAATAAAAACAAATGTACACTTGTATTTTTAAATACTAGTAAATTACTAAAACCTAATCTCTGGTTTTAAAAAGCAGAGTGAGCTCCCTTCAACTTTCTCGAATAATTTTTTGTAAAACAAAGTGGTGGGATTACACTGTCAGATTAATTAGAATATAGAAGAATTTTTTGGAATACATCCTTAATTTCTTAGCATATTCTTTATAAAAAATGGTATAAAATCATCAAATTTTGAACGTCTTCCATAGATCGCAAAACTAAACAACAGTAGATAATAACTAGTTTAGAAATGCTTATATTTCATATTGCTGGAGGGACAAAGTTTAAAAAAAAAGTTTCAGCTCGTTCAAAAATATATACACACACAAACATATATATATATATATATATATATATATATATATATATATATATATATATATATATATATATATATATATATATATATATATATATATATATATATATATATATATATATATATATATAAAGAAACACACACACACATATATATATATGTATATAAATATATATATATATATATATAAATGTATATATATATATATATATATATATATATATATATATATATATATATATACATTTATATATATATATATATTTATATATATATATATATATATACATGTGTGTGTGTGTTTCTTTATATATATATATATATATATATATATATATATATATATATATATATATTTATATATTTATATATTATATATTTGATGGTTTTTTTTACTTTTAGTAGTAGTATGCTAATGTTATATTTGATCTGTAAAAGTTACCACAATGCCAACCTACTACGTTTATTCCTTCTCCCCATGCTATGAAAAGCTTCCACAAAACTCAACTTTACTATGACCTCCCTCCCCTCTCCTCCCACATGAACGTCATAAATAGATTTCCTAAAGAGATAGGGTGGCATTTTGGGTCAAACAACAGGGATTTATTTGTAGTTGATAGATTATAAAAGGTGGCGTGGGCAATAAGGGGTATTGGTTTTTGTTGTGCAGTGCAGCCGATAGACCCTTTCCGAACCGCAAACTGGTTCATCTAGTATAGTGCATCCTTTACTACTAAATATAATGCTTTACTATTGTTCTAACAAATATCTCACATGTGGTTTTAAGTATAAAAATGTGGCAGAGATGCGTTTGTTTTACTCTATTCATAATTTTAAAAAGTGTGTCTGTTAAACGTTTTTTGTTTTGTCCGTATTTGCAGAGTCTACCTCATCATCTGAAACTGAAAAAACAACGTCTGTGACATCTAGTGCAACAACAGAATCAAGTAGCTTTAGTACAGTGAGAAATATGTCAAATCCTGGGAATGTTTCTGACGACACAATGGGTAAACCTGTTTAAATCTAAGTAATGGTTTAACAAAAGACTGGCTTGAGATCAATTTACCACCAGCTTTTAAATGAATACGCCTTTGTGTGAACATATTTAAAACAACTATTAAAGCAGATACAACTTGATAGGTAAAAGTAAAAGAACTTACTCCGGAGAGATATGAAATACAAATAGCCCAGAAATCGACTCTAAACTTAATATTACCTTTATATTTAACCCCAACAAAACGTAATGTTAGATTTTAATTAATATAGGGGAAGAGCAAAGACTATATTTAAAGCTAATTTTATGATAAAGGCAAGGGTTAAGGTAGGTGTGAGATAAAAATACGTGTAACGGATAAATTAAATACAAAAAAAAACAAAGCGTTGCAATATACCGCATGATCTGAACAAATAAAATCAACACTCAATGAAATACGACACATAAAAAAAATTAATACGCCAAATATACAAAACGTGTATTATAAAGCAAGTGCACGATCTCTTTAAAGTGTTGATCTCTAGTCCCACATCGTCTCTGAAAATCACATGCAGCGTTAAGTAGTTAGTTGTTAAAAATAAGTAGCATATCTTTATAAGAACATGTTATACATTAATCAAATTTTGAAATTTAACACCAGTAGATTATAACGTATTTAGAAATGCTTATATTTTATATTGTTGGCAGGACAAAGTTTAGTCGGCACAGCTCGTACACACATATATACACAAGTATATATACACAAATATATATATATATATATATATATATATATATATATATGTATATATATATATATATATATATATATATACATATACATATATACAAACACGCATAACGTGAATTTTAAATATAATTCTAATTTTCAATCTATTAAAACAGAGACAACAACAACATCGGAAACAGAAACAACGCCTTTGGCATCCATTGTTGCAACGACAGCAACAAGTAACTTTAGTACAGTGAAAAATGTGTCAACGCCTGGGAATGTTTCTGACCACACAATGGGTAAATATTTGCAAAATAATAGCTGAAGATGTGTTATCTTTTTACATTTATGCAGGAAATTCGAAAAGGAAAAGCAGTCTAAATTTGGATAATTCTTGTTGTTAGAGTTGTTAATTAATGGACGAAGTAAAGTGCCGTATGAAAATAACTGCTTATAGAACCATTACTAGTCAAGATGTTAATAATTGTATTTGGTGATCAACAATCACCAACATTTTAAAATACATTTTTGTAATTAAAAAAATCAGAAAATAATGTTTAACTTTCTTTTATGCTGTGTCTTTTAAACAGGATTTTTTAAAATCTTTTTAAACAGAGACAACTACAACATCTAAAAATGAAACAACGCCTTTGGCATCCATTGTTGCAACGACGGTAGCAAGTAACTTTAGTACAGTGAGAAATATGTCAAAGCCTGAGAACGTTTCTGGTGACACAATGGGTAAATTTGTTTAAATCTATGTAGTGATCTAACAAAAGCCTGGCTTGAGATCAATTTACCACCAGGTTTTAAATGCATACGTCTTTATGTGAACATTTTTAAAACAACTATTAAAGCAGATACAATTTATTAGGTAACAAAATGAACTTAATCCAAAGAGATGTAAAATACAAATAGCCCCAAAACTTAGTCTAAACGTAATACTACATTTAAACGTAACCCTAACCAAAAGGTAATGTTGGGGTTCGGTTAATAATAGGGGAAGGGTGAAGACTATATTTAAAGCTAGGTTTATGTTAAGAGTAAGGGTTATGGTAGATGTTAAGGTAAAATAAATGTAACGGTTAAATTAAAAATAAACAAAATGAAAGTAAATCAATATACCGCTTGATCTGAACAATCAAAATCCGTACCCAATGTAACCAGACACAAAAAAAAAACGCCAGATATGCAAAACGTGTATTATAAAACACGTGCATGCACTTTCTAAAGCGTTTATCTCTAATTCCAAACTACGAAAAAATATTTGCAAAGCATTTTGCAATTATCTTTCATTTAACTATTGCATTATCCATCTAACTTATTTTATAGCCGTACATGGTAGCTAAACAAATGAGCACTGTTTTATTCAAAAAAAAGGATAGAAAACGTTTTAATAACAATCTTTTATGTAACAATGAACTAAAATGTACTATTATTAAATAACTGTATTAAATAACTGTAATGAAAAGCGTGGGTTAGTTTAGTATTTATTGGATACCTTTACTAATATATAGGAAGAGACCCACGCTTTTCATATAGTTATTTAAATAGTAGTGTATAATTTATTTTCTACTTTTTAGTGCATTGTTACATAAAAACTTGTTATTAAAACGCTTTTTAGGGAAAAAAATCCAGTACTTTATTTTTTTATAGAGTTGCATGACTAAAAACCATTGCGCACCTATTGAACGTGACGACGCGTGTAAAATAGTGCGAAATAGTGATGACGCGTGTATAATAGTGCGGAATAATTTGATGAGACAGACTACTATTTTGAACACAATTTTAATTAATTCATAAAAAACTAATCAGATAACCAATTAAGTCAAATTGAATGTCATGTTGCACTGTCTTCATGTCTAGACCCATGTACTAACTACGAACCGTATATGTCAGTTAGAACTGTTGGTAATTTCGCTCGGGGGTTTCGATCTAGACAGACTTACGACTGATGACAGACAGAGACAGCGAGTTAAATAAAAGCTTGTAATTAAAAAATTCATAAAAAACATTTTCATAACAAGCTTTTATGTACTAAGGCACTAAAAAATAAATGAGTTTCTTTAAATACATAGTAATATAATACACAACTATTTATATAACTATAAAGAAAAACGTGGGTCACTATATTATTTATTGGATACTTTAAAACTAATATTTAGGAAGCGACCCACTTACATGCAACTCGAGATATAGACATGATTTTAACCCAATTTTTTATTGCCCTCACCTACTTAAAAATTGTGAAACATTTGCATACATAGCTGTACAATTTTAAATAAAATCATTAAACTTTTTGTCTTTCAGAAAAAATGAATTCACCAGGAGTAGCTGTATGGTTAGGTATTGGGGCTGGTATTTTTGTCGTGGTCACATTTTGTGTTCTTATTGTGGTGCTTGCTAGACGTCGTCGTAAAACACGGTCACTCAGAAGAAATCTGAAAATAGCCAAGATACAAGATTTTACACACCAGGTAAAATATTTGCGCATAAAATGAAATTTGGTGTTAGTAATGCATTTTTTAATTCATCCTACATTATGTGGAGTACACAAAAAATATTCATTACATAATGATTTTCTTGAAACAACTAGTAAATTAATGAATGATTCAATATAGTTTTAGTTCATGGACTTTGATCATGTTTAGTGAAATATGGTTAAAGAAGCATAAATATTGAGTGCTTATCCAAGGGTAAAGGTATTGTATTATTATTCACTCTGTCAACGTCACTGAGTCATGGTAATTATAGCAAATACATTACGACATGTTCATTTGTTCATAATCATCAGGACATGGATACTTGATTTTTACCTTGGATATTTATTTATTGTTTTTATTCTATGGTGACATAGTGATATGCATTGATTTAATTAATAAAAATAAGGTACACAAAATTATCTTGCAGCCCACAACAGAATATGATAACACGGACCGACGCAAGACATGTCCATCTAATGCAGTTGAAAGGAACTAAACATATGTATGGAGAATTTTCTGACAAACGGGGTGGTTGTATTACTTATCGCCAATACTAGACATTTTGAAAGGCTTCGGTTAGGTTTTTGAAAAAAAAATATGCCTAAAATCATACACTTTACTTAACCACTATACTTATACTAACCAATATTAAACTTTACATTATGGCTAATTTAATTATATTTTAAAGGTAAGATTATTATTTTAATCATTAAAATCCATAACTTAAGAGATTTACTTATTTTCCACAATGATTATATGATTTAATAAATTTCGGTTGGATAACGTGATTTTAGGAGAGTGTGGAAAGGGGTTAAAAACGTACCATCCTTGATCTGTAGGACCTCATTGATCCAACCCACCACTAATAGGTGCATAACTTATTGGTAGGCCATAGAGGACATGACATAGAACCCGACACACTTTAACCTCATATGCCAGTCACATACACAAACCAATTATACTTCATCTGCCATATGAAAAGTTTTTGTATATCTCTCATCTAACATATTCAAACCGATTAAAAATAATAAATATAGGCATATTTATTATAAAAGAATCTTCGATGGATTTTATATTTTTGGCCTTCTCAATCTTTGCACGTACGATTAATCATGCATGATTTACTTTAGTTTTTTAATTCTTATTTTATAGATTTATTCATTTTTACTTTCTTTTGCAATTGTACATATCATACTTTAGCGTTTATGTAATATAAAGAATTTATTGTTATTAGACAAAATATCGAAATCTAGATTTCGAAAACAATTCATCTTTTACAACCTTCCGCATCGAAAAAAAATAAAACTTAGTTTATTTTGTGTATGCGTTTTACTTAGGTTGACAATTTTTTTTCCATAGTTATAAGATTTAATTATTGTATCCTTTCAAATTTTGAGTGATTTCAAATAACCGATAATTTGTTTCTACGCAATTTCCGATTTTTTAAAATAAAGATTACTTCTACCGGATCAATTTCTTTCACGCGTTTACGTACGTCAACATTCAATGACAGTGCACGCTTATAAAAATGTGACATAAATAGATTTTAATTTAATCAATGTATTCTTTAATTGTACTAATTTTCCATCTATAATCCAAGCCGTACCATTCGTGCGCTATTCTGTTGTCTACTTGATTATATTCTTTTTAAAATATAGAAGTATATACAAAATAAAAAATAAAAATCATATTGTCCGGTTGCACTGGAAGTGCCTTCCCCTTTACTGTAATAAGTGAACATACGGAAAGTTTAGCGGTATCACTCTTGCTTTCGCAATTGCACCAGACAAGAAATTTACAGCGTCGTTTCACCTTGGCTGCTTGTTCGATTCAGTATTAGAGCTTTCATCATTGGTTTGTAAAGATTTACTAAAATAGGCCTTCTTTTTCTGTTGTTTTTTTGTCTCTTTTTTCAATCACTAAAATGGCTTGTTTATACATAATACAACAAGCCCAATTTTACTTTATGTTAAGCTTAAAAATTTGAATAATAATTTGGTGATTAGATGATATTAACTTTTTAAATACCTTTATTTTCAAATAAAACAAATATATCAAAATCAACATTTAAGTGTGAGTTTTCCTGGTTTTTAACACTATTCAAATACCTAAGATTTACAAAATAATTTAACACTTTGAAAAAAAACCAGTAAACAATGATTAGATCGTTAGATAATATAAATTGGTTTATATAGTAATTTTTAAGTCTGCCAAAAAATCAAGAATGGTGTATTATATTGTCCTAATGTAACGTTCGTCTAGTAATAGTGAATTTCCAGTTCATGTTGTGTTTCGTTTGCCTGCTAACAGTTGTTAATAATGCTGTGTGATCACGGTATTGTTGTGTTTGGAATAGGGCGTCTGTGCAAGTGCGGATATAACCCACAGTGTTAAACCTCCTAACCTTAATCAAAGATTATACAAATAATCTAATTTAAAAAACAACGATTCGTAAATTAAAAATAACAAAACATGAACAGACACAACCACAGATAAGTTACAATCATATAGGAGATAAAATGGTTATATACAAGACAGGATTAAGAATATCCAACTTTAAATAAGGTTGAGCCTTCATGTCAGTGATAAATTATCAGCAACACCTACATGTACTTCACACAAAACAAGCTTATTAAACAGACCACGAAACACATAAACATTGAATAGACAGAATAAAATCACTAAATTGTGATTAGTTATAGGCTTTTGAAAAACCGAAAGCATAATAAGTTCCATTTCGGGTTACCGGAAATGCCTGAAAAAAATGATTAACAGCTACACATTCTATATAATACTTATAAATGAATTTTCATCTACCTAGTTGTAACGGTACTCAAGTTATCGTGTTCACAGACACACACACACACACACACACACACACACACACACACACACACATACACACATAGAGGTATACGGGGAAAAAATTGCAAAACTAAGTTTTTCCGACTCAGGGAGGTGTAAAATTTCGAGATTTGTGAAACTTTGAGCCTAAAAATAAACCTAAAACTGAAACTAAAACTGAAACTAGAACTGAACCTGAAACTGAACCTAAAACTGAACCTAAAACTGAACCTAAAACTGAACCTAAAACTGAACCTAAAACTGAACCTAAAACTGAACCTAAAACTGAACCTAAAACCGAACCTAAACCTAAACCTAAACCTAAACCTAAACCTAAACCTAAACCTAAACCTAAACCTAAATCTAAACCTAAATCTAAATCTAAACCTAAACCTAAACCTAAACCTAAACCTGAACATGAACCTGAACCTGAACCTGAACATGAACCTGAACCTGAACCTGAACCTGAACCTGAACCTGAACCTGAACCTGAACCTGAACCTGAACCTAAACCTAAACCTAAACCTAAACCTAAACCTAAACCTAAACCTATACCTAAACCTAAACCTAAACCTAAACCTAAACCTAAACCTAAACCTAAACCTAAACCTAAACCTAAACCTAAACCTAAACCTAAACCTAAACCTAAACCTAAACCTAAACCTAAACCTAAACCTAAACCTAAACCTAAACCTAAACCTACAAAAGAATACAATAAAAATGAGTTTCGGTAAAAAAAATTACTTTGTATTAATTCTCAGTTACGAGTACAACATCGAAAACTGACACAACATCATCTTTAAAACCAATAGCAACGACGGCAACAACTAGTTTTAGTACAAAGGGACAATTTTCACAGACTGGAGACCTTTCTGGCTACACTCTAGGTAAATCTTTTTCTGTTTCGCTCCTGAATCTTGAGGGTCATTCAAAAATAAAAAGTATTCACTAATTACTGTATTTTGTATAATTGTGTCTGCTTAACGGAAACGGTAGTCAAGTACCGATTCCTTTTACCGAAAATCGTTCACAATTTTACATAAACTTAAATGTTAAATTTCGTTAACGTAATTCAAGCGGTGCTCAAGTTATTTATTTTGAATAAAATAGAAGTAAAGTAAGTCGGTAACCGAAAACTTGATAGTTGCATTTAAACTAAACAGAATACTTATAAAAGACGTTTTGTCAATCTAACTGAGCCAAAAGAAACGAAACATTTCTATGTAGAATATTTGGACCAAAAAAGTCGTTTTAATATTAATTCCTAGTATATGTTATTCTGAAAATAGAAAAAAAAACGTAAAGCATGTTATAGGTAGTAAATGCGATCATCCATTATTCTTGCTGCATTCGCGATAAAACATTATTTTTTTATAAACTCAAGATCATGTACTTTTATAGTTATTTTAACACATTTTTTTTAATTAACATGTTTGTATTTAAGAAGAATAGTCTTTTTGAGTAATTTTGGTATGACTTACGAATGTTTAGTTTGACAATACTTTATGATTTCTTTTAAACCACTTTTTGTAGTTATGAAAACAATTTAGCTGTTAGCTTGTTATTGTATTGTGTATGTTTAGTGTTTCAGTTATGATTCAAGTTGGATTTAAATAAGTAGGCCTATACACCGAAATGTATTCGAATTTCTTTAATTTTTTAATCTCGTAAAAGTGTGCTATTTAGAATTGTATTATTAATAAATTGACAATAATGTGTATTCGTATTACTAATTTTGTTTAAATATAAAGCCTTGCAATTGTTCTACATAATATATAACAAGCGGTTTTTTTTTCTTCTGTATAATGTTGTGACATCCATGCCGTATTTGTGTAACGAACCGTGTCACAGAGGAACGGCAGGTGAAGCGTCGTTATTTTTAGAATCACGTGGAGGTGTACGTGCTGCTGTACCGAGCGTAGACTTCCGCAATGCTCTTTGATTTTTGTGGGCGCGTGTGGACTTGGGTGGAGGGGGGGGGGGAGTTCGGATCAATGTGGACGTTCACATTTTGAATATTATAACAAAATACTTACATCATAAATTAAAAATTACCACTCGTCTAAAAAAAACTGCAAATTTTTACAATCGTGAGTGGGGGGGGGGGGGGGGGTATTAGCCGCTTCATTTTCTAAAACAATTCACGGTATTTCAAGTTTATCTTTACATTTTTTAAAATATTGTGGTAGTTATAAATTGATTTTTTTTAATTAAGTTTACTATTATTCATATAGTATACCTCATAATACTAATGTGTAAAAAAGCAAATACAATCCATATGACATTCAATTTTAAATTTTAAAAAGTTAAAATCGACTAAAGATATCCTCAACACTATGAATATGTTACTGTGAGATATTGTGTCTGAGATCGATTGTTCCTGACATCATTTGTTCTGATATATTTTGTCCTGATATATTTTGTCCGTGAAATCATTTGTCCTTGTGATTTATTGTCCTGAGATAATGTGTGCGTGAAATATATTTTTTGGGATATTTTTCTGAGATCATTTGTCATTTAACCATAATATATAAGTTATATATATATATATATATATATATATATATATATATATATATATATATATATATATATATATATATATATATATATATATATATATATATATATATATATATATATATATATATA